TTTTTTTCTCTCGTTCTCCCTCTTTTTCTCCCATCCAATTTAAAAAAAAAAAAAAAATCCCTATTCGCTCTCATCTCCACTCCCTCAATTCCCCATAATTGAACACACAACTCCCCCTCCCCCATTATTCTCTCTCCTCATCCATTCATGCATGTTATTCACAGATTAGAATTGTATACGAAAGATGGATTTATTAGAAGTCACATACAATTCATTCTCATGCGGACCACCAAATGTACAGTTCGTAATATGTTCCGGCACAGAAACACGATTTACTTCTTTTCCCTCTGGACTGACGATAGTAATAGCATCCTGTGAACTTGTATAGAGATATCCATCCCCATCCACACGGAAACCATCAGGAATTCCCGGTTCCACTACAAAAAATCTTCTTCCATTTACCGCCTCAATCTTCTCAATAGTATTTTTACCATCTGTAGATATAGTTTCTACAATATCGTACAGGCGAATTTCATGTCGACCAAGATCTCCCCATTCATATCGACTCATATCCGCCACATACAATTGTTTCTCATCTGGTGTAAAGGCCAAACCATTCGGTCGTTGACAATCTGAAATGGCAATATTTATGACACGTTCCTCTAGGTGTTCTGGGGATGGAGGTAAGAGACAATAAACAAAACAACCAACAATTTGACTGGAACTTTGCATACCTGTGAAATCCGATAAAATCCCATACGGTGGATCTGTAAACCAAACACTACCATCACAGGATCGTACCACAATATCATTAGGAGAATTAAATCGTCGATTTGCAAATTTGTCAACTATAATAACATTACGAACATCCTCAGTAGGTGGCTTCGTCCCAATAGAAACTGCATGGGGAGGAAGAGAAGCAGAGATACAACGTCTACCATGTTCACAGGAAAGAATAAAGTAATCTGGTTTTTCAGAAAAGTAATATTTATTACGGAAATCAAGTGTATTCCCATTGGCATGAGAACTGTATGGACGGAATAAGGAAACAGTTTTGGTATCAGGATCCAATAAGTATTGTTTATCTCCAGCAACATCACTGAATAATAATTTGCCTTCACGTGGTAACCAACATGGGCCCTCCAGCCAAGCACCGCCTGTCCAGAGTTTCTCTGCAGTGAGGTTTGTTGATGTGCGATTTAATCCTTTGGGATGCATCGTCATGATTTCTATTCTTTCTCTCTGTTTGTGTGTATGAGAAGAATAAAGTAAAGAAATAGTTTTTTCTCCTTGTTGTAATGTTCTTGTTAATTCGTATTTTCTTTTTTTCTTTATTTATTCATTATTATTATTATTATTATTATTATTATTATTATTATTATTATTATTATTGTTAATATAGAATTTAGGAAAAGTGTCAGAAAAGAAAAAAAAAATTGTAGAAACACCATTTATATTATATATATATATATATATATTAAGAGAATTATAAAGAGATAAGAGAAACACATCACAGCACATCATTTCACTTCTCTTCAACACAAACTCACACTGTAACCCACGCCGTTAAACTTCTTCTTCTTTCTCTCTTTCCATATATATATATATCACACATTATCTACAGTGGTAGTAGTGGAGTTTAAAGGCGGCAGCAGCCACGAACTCCGCGCAAGTCTACATGCATGACAGAGAAAGATTCCACCACTGGCATCACGCTGCACAGGACACACACAGTCCTGATGAAACAGCAATAAACACGAAGCGCACTCCAACACTGCATCCACCTCACGTAGACGAGGAATGCGGGGAACGGTATCCATCAATTCTCTTACTAACCGCGTCTCTCTTGAAGGTCCATTAACACAACCCTTATCATGTATTTTTTTATTCGTATGTTCGCTTTTTAATAGATCATTTAAATATGTCTCTCCACTGGAACCGCCAATTAATGCGGCACGACAGGCAGCGAGAGGATAAGAGCCTTGCACTTCCAACAATAACTCTCGCAGAGTAGGAAATAGTGAAGAAAGAGAGGTACGATCACTTCTTCTCTTTGGAGTCATGGATGTGGTTGTATTTTGAATTTGAGTAAGAGTATCCTTCTCTGCCTCAATAACGGCTTTTCGGCATAATTGAATAGTGAGACCTCGCAACACTTCATCACAGATGGATTCTTCTACTACAGAAGGAAGAATAGATTTCTGCTTTATCTCTTCCCATGAATATACATTATCCATATGGATAGAGTTATCTTCTCCTTGTGTTAATGCTGAAAGACGTAATGCAGGTTTCTCTCTCACAAGACCTTCACAAACAGCACAATAAGGATCATTTTCTCCAGCCTTTACAATCATAGTACAATAGTTTAATATTGTATTATAAGTGGAGTGATCAGACTCTGTATTACATACTTGAAGCCATAAACCTGCCACTAACAATCTAGTCCAGAGTTGCTGTGCTGTCACTAATTGTAAAGGTAATGGCATAAGCGATTGAAGTCGTGCACGTGATGGATGTAAAAAATGAGTAGGAGATTGTAAAGATCCGTCACTATCTCCAAATGCATTGTGACAAAAGTATAAATAGGCCTCTTCCACTTCATCTATAGGTGATTCACTCATTATATCTGTAAAACTCGCATTAGCTTCATTCATACATGACAATGGAGAATAAAGAAGTGGATTCCGTAGGCATCTCTGTAATCGATCATAAAATAAAACGGAACGTGCAGAATCAATAGAATCAGCTAATGCTTTTAAACCCATAGGAAGAGCAAAATATTGAAGTGGAACAACAGAACTAACGGATGGGAAACCAAAAGTAGAAGAACTACATAAGGATGAGGTATCCAAAGGAAGTGTCATGGAATGAGTATCCATGATATCATCATCCAAGTCATCTTCTTCAGGGAGTAGAGCTCCAGTGTTATTACTATTACTCTCTCCATGAGTTCCTGCAATCGTATTTACTCCAGAGCGACGACCAGATGATCCTAATGGTCTCTTGCTTATATTTTCTTCTACATTTGGAAGAACCTTTATACCTCCCATCTCCTTTTCATAGGCAGAAACCACAGCGTGGAGCTTTTTTACATTTGGTACATTAAGCTGAAAATAACTAAATACCAATTGTACCACCAGCTCCATTTCCAGTTTACTCCCATTCATATTTTCATCATCGCGAGGATGTTTTCTTGTACCATTTGGTGTACCTATTAAACATGTGGAAACTCTAGTGTTTCCTCCTGTTCCTGTTCCTGTTCCTCCTCCTCCTGATGATATGGGAAGTGTATGATTCTCTGTATGAACGACGGGTTGTAAATAAGAAGTACGGGCAATAAAGTGTTCCACCTCTTTTAATTTCACAGTCATGGGTGCAGGTGCGCCAAATCGCAACTCCGGCATTCGTGGCCGTAAACCGCGACTCCAATTACACAGAACGGACCACATATCGGGTTGACAGGATGAAACGGCGGCTAATACGCAGTACGCGGCATCTTCGGTTTGATTTTCGGCGAGTTTCTCCTGTTTTGCTCGACAAAGACGATATAATAGCATGGCACGCTGACGTAAAGCTTCAGCTGCGGTAGTAATGATACGATGATGCTTCTGATGAATTGGTTGTTGGGCATCACTAGAAAGAAGCTGCTGAATTATAGCAGTACATCGACTATGTACAACATCATCCTCCATTTAGCTACTTTATTTTTTTTCCGCCTTTTCTTTCCTCCCTGTTTGCGTCTTCAAGTAAGAATCAATATATAAGTCAAGAGAAAAACAAAAAAAAAAAAGAAAGAGCAAGATGATAAATACGTCAAATAGGAAAAGAAAACATCTCATACATATATATATAAATAACTAATTAGATTTATTTGTTTAATTTGTACACTTATGTATCTATATAATTGCATATATTTGCTCGTTTTCTCTGTCTGCCGTGTACTCAACGGATCCGCAATAATCATGATGATTAACTTTACGCTCTTGAGAGGTTTTGCTTTTACCCTCTAGTTGCTGTTTGTTTGTTTGTTTTTGTTTTATTTTTTATATTTTGGAACATATTCTTTTTTTTTCTCTCTTTTTAATACATACATCTAGCGCTCGTAGTGCTAGCATGTGCCGCAGCACTAGAATGAACTTTGTTTGTTGCTCCCCACGCAGCTGCATTTCCAACGTTATCATGATCTGGTGACAACTTTGATGAATCTATACTATCTACAACACGGTCTCTACTACCCCTTAAAGCTGACTTACCATTAGGTGTGTTACGTGCACTTTTGATTACCTCAGACTGTTGAAAATCATACCGTAGTTGCTCTAGTGCCGCTAAATGATGATTTACCCAACCATCACCAGCAAGGCGAGAGCGTGCTGTTCGGGGAGTCATACCTTCTTCACGTTCTTTTTTTAGTTGTTGAGAGCCTGATGAAGGTTTCTGTGAGTCAACGTGTAAATTGCACTCTAGTCCAGCAGATATATCGAGAGAGACCGTTATAGGTATGCTATCATCAACATGAGGAGAAAAGTTTGTTGCGCTGGGTATGCGAGCGCCTGGGGTTCTCACCTTATTGGTAGTAATAGGTGTATGATTATTGGTGGTAGTAGCAGTCGTAGTAGTAGTAGTAGTAGTGTTAGTAGTAGGTACAGCAGTACTACCACCCTTACGCTCTTGAAGATGATGTTGTAAAGTTTCGCGGGAATTGTTCATCGTCATGAGCAATGTGTTACTTCTTTCTTCAGATAGTTTCATCATATGTACGACGGTAGTATTTTTCTCTTCACTCTTTGTTGGAACACCATAACCACTCGGCTGAGTTTTTCCTGAACTTTTTCTCCCTGTCATTGTTTTCGCTGCTGTTGGTGTTGTTGCTGTTGGTACTGCTGCTGCTGCTGTTGCTGCCGCCGCAGTTCTCATTCCCACTGCAGCTATCGCTGGTGATGGTGATGGTGCTGTTGATGACGGTGATGGTGCTGATGATGATGATAATGATGCTGCAATTGCTGCCACATGTCCTGTTTCTTTTGATCCATGCATATATAATGAAGGATCATAATGAGATGACTTGAGTTTTCCTGCAGCAAGTGTAGGGTGACTAGTTGTTGTAGAAACATTTTTAGCGGAAACCAAATTACCTGTCTGACGTGGTGACATAGAAGGACGTGCATGTGCTTTGGAACTATTTAGTGGTGTAGTGGAATGTGGTGTTGGTACTTTATTCAACATATGCACTCCTGGGCTTCCACGTGATTGTAGCGGTGTTGCAATAGGTGTTGTCCGTGGTGGTGTTTTATAACTAGTAGGAAGAAGCAGTGATGAATTATCATCTGTTGTACGTACAAGTGGAGAAACATCTGGTGTAGCGAGCACAGATCTTGGTCGGCCCGTAAGGGGAGTTCGTTGATTTGCTCGTACAGGAGTAACATGTTGTAAGGGTAGTTCAAGCTTTGTTGTAGAAGAAGGAACAGCCGCAAGAGAAGTAGAATGTGTTAATTTTGATGATGCTGGTCTACCAATAACCTTTTCCCTCCCTGTTGAAGAAACTGTAGAAAGTCCAACAACGGCAGGAGATTCCGCTCGACCGTTATAAGAACGACTAGTAACAATAGGTGAAACACTTTTTTGTCGACGTACAGAAGAACTAGCGGTTGGTGTTCTTGTAGACATCGTACCTTGAGCTAATGCTGTGTGGCCCACTGCCGTACTATTTGAATGCGCCATCGATGGAGTGTTGGTTCGTGTACTCGCTCGTTGTGTGTGGCCCCCTGGAGTTACCCGAGGAGAACAGTTTTGTGGGGCTCCATCTATTACTCGTCCCTCTTTACCAAGTAAACCCACGGGTGAAGTATGCGATGCCAACATGTCCGCAGCAGTAGGAGAGATATTGGCATTGGTATTGGTATTGGCATTACCACCAGAAGAATTTTCAGTTTTTTGAAAACGAAGGAGACCGTAAAGTGGACGAGTTTTATCGGATGGAGTGGTGGACTCAGTCGTTACTGTACGACGAGAAGATCGTGGATAAGGTTGTTGTGCTAGCGAAGACCACGAAAGTGCAGTTGAGACCTTTTGTGGTGATGATGATGATGTTGTTGTTTGTACGGTTTGTTGTGCGGTATGTGTTGATGATGGCCCTGCTCGTGCTGTTGAGACTCCTGGTGTGGGCGGCATACTAGTGGATGGTAATCCTCTCGCCGTAGCTACAGCTGCTGTGTTTGTAGTGTTGGTTGCTCTTCCTGTGGTTATTGCTGCTACACCTGCTATTGGAGGGACAACTGATCTTAATGGCGATGTTGATGCCCTTGGAGGACCAGCAGCAGCAGCATTAGGTGGTGATGTTGTTGGGGATGACGATGCTGTTGTCGGTATAGGCAGTGATTTGGCTACAGGTAATGCTGATGCTGCTGATAATGTCTTTGAACGTGGAGTCTGCACTAATGATTGTCTGAGACGTTCAAAGCTTTCTTTCCCTGCAGGGAGTTGATCTAATCGTTCAGACGTTAATTCATAAAGAAGAAGAAATTGATTTAATTTTTCTTCCCGCTCCTCAAGTCGTTTTTCTCGCTCCTCTAGTTCTGCCATATACGCTTCAACATTCGTTAAAGACGGATACTTATGATCAGTCACTTTTCCCCCATTCCCATTTCTTTTACCATCACTCCAGATATTGTTGCTAATGATATTACTAGTATCCTTCCTTTTGCTACTGTTGTGGTCATGGTTATTGATATTACTGGTGTTACTGGCATTGTTGTTGTTGTTGTTATTATTAGTAGTATTAGTATTATTGTTGTTGTCGTTGTTGCTTTTATTAAGGTAAAACATAAAAGTGGCAATTTGTGTATCGCGTTCCTCCAGAATAGAGCGAAGTAGCCAAAGATGTGTACGCAGTTGTACAGCCTGCAACTGTGCAAATCGATGGGCCGGTGCCTCTCCCAATACACCACCATTTGCGGATGATGATGATGTTGTGGTTGTTGAGGTCGTATTCACACTTTCTCCCACAGCGGCCATTCGCTCAGCAACAAAGAGAAGTTCTGAACAACTTGTTGTACCTCTCGCCCCACGCCGCCGTTTCGCCTCAGCGACAACTGCCACGAGAATACGGCCCAGTGCGGCTGTATCTCGTCTTTGTGCTGCGCCAATCTCCGCTGCGTTTTCTTCCCGTTCTTCCTCTTCTTCTTCGCCTCCCCGCATTTCCTCTGCAAAGAGAGATCGTGGGGGTGTGGTGAATACAAAGAATGCGTGATGGGCGGGGGTTGTATCCGTAATAAGCCAGTGGGATTCACTCGCCGTGGTCCGTGAGACGAGATGATGGGCGATGGATTCTATTCCACTATTCCTTTTCATCGTGTTCGCCCCCACTGCTGTTGCTGTTGCTGCTGCTGCTGTTGTTGTTGTTGTTCTTGTTGTTGTTGTGGATGATGTTGGTGTTGAGATGTGTGATTCTTCTTCACTGCTATCAGGGAGAGCAAAGCAAAGTACATCATCTGTAGATAATTCCCCTCTAAAGTGAAAACCAGCCGCATGAACTACAGCCAATGCTGACACTAGCAATCCAAGTAAACGCCATAAGACATCATCACTCCAGCATGAAAAGGGATCTTCTCTACTCCATTCACTACTACTATTAACACCACCAATACCACTACCACTACCACCTGGTGCTGGTGATCCCTTATGTGGACCACTTACAGAGCGGGGGAGACGACATTCTAGGTAAGCCGCAAGAGTAAGCCCAATCCTTGTGCGGTTATTCATACCTAATGCATTATGCATTGTTGAAGCCGCTCCACAAACACCTGTTGCGTTAGAAACAGCTAAAAAGCGATCCATTAACGTCATTCTTGACGCTTCAGCAGCCAAAGCATTTCTTAAATTAGTGTTAGTAGTACTATCATTACTAATATGATCACTAACACTTTGACCACGCAAGACACGCTGCTCTGGAAAACCGTAAAAGAAACAATACGGTATTACTCGTGTATCCTTTAATGATCCCACATCATCTCCGCCTTTTCTTCCTTCTCCTCCCACACCTTTTGTTACTGTCGTTGATTCTTCATCCGATGCGGCTGGTACCACAGAGATAATTGAGGGAAGGGCAAAGGCAGCCGCTACAAATGCTGTAGGTTCTACTGGGAAAACTAAATGAGAGAGACGATCCACGTCAAATACGGTGGAATCATCAACAGCCGCATTACTCTTAATGCTTCTATGATGACGGGAACGTCTTGAAAATAACCATTCAACACCCCGTTGTAACCGACAACATAAACGGCAGTATGATTCACATCGCGCAAGAAACCGTTTGTGAAAAGCTCTTGATCCATTAATAGGTACTACACGCATTACACTTAATTCCTTTTTATCACTGTCATTATCGCCCAAGTTTGAGGTTGGGTCAACAGAGAGAGAAAGCGCATTCATAAAGGCTTCATGAGTTCCATCATTACCGCTGACACGGGAACGATTAAGGCGTACACCAGTAGTTGTTGGACGATGCAGAATTGATGCAGGAACATCAACTAAAAATGTAGACTCGCTCTGAAACGCATGGATGATTGACAGTTGATCCATTACCAGCAAATAGGAAAGAAGTAGAAACTCTTTTTTTTTTCTTTTTTTTACCCCTTACTTTACCTTCTCTTTTGCTTTTTTTTTTATTCTTCCTTTTAATGTATAAGTAAACGTATGTATGGAAGAATAGACCCTTTCACCCCTCTGTACGGAGTGAAAGGTGAAATTCTGTTTCAGAATAATGAAGAAATAAAAATACTTAACCCAACTGGATGAACGTATTCGTCACACAATATTATTTGATTGGCCTAACAAGTTGTCCCAATAGTCCGTATTATAAGGTACCAAATCCAATGTAATGCAATCAGATGTGTGTATAAATACTTGGTATCCACCCTCACACCCTCTTTCTGTTCTTTTTATCTATCAATTTATTTGTCTCTTTGTTTGTATGTATATATGTATGTATATTTAGCTACTCCGCTGTTTCTGTTGTAGTTGTTGTTGCGGTTAACCTATCCGCACTCCCACACACAGAAAATACACGCGAAGCAAATGGCCAACGACGAAAAAAAAAAAAGAAAGAAGTGAACCCCTCTGCTCTTTACTGACGACAATGATGCACTTCTCCAAGTACCACCATAAATGGCAAACCAAAGAAGGAACAATAAAAAAAAGAGAAAAAAAAGAGAAAAAGAAAGGAAAGATAGAAAACGCAAATTTCGAGAGAGAGAACTTATCGAATAAGGTAGGAAAATTTACTGGAGAGAGAGATTTTAACAAGAACAGGAAAAAAATATTCTGTTGTTTAGTTATTTTTTTTTTTTAGAAATAAGTAAGATGTACTAACGTAGAAATGAAAAAAAGTGGTTTCATGGCTTTCTTTCACCACCCGTGAATGGAATTCAAACTGAACCCACTAGACCCCGAGCTAACAACAAGGAAAACAATCAGATTTATAGCAGACCCATCTTGTTGGCTGTCTCGAGAGCGTCGTTGGAGGCAGAGAGACGAATGTACGCCTTCTTAAGACCATCAGGGCGAATCAGTGTGTTCACCTTCACGGCCTTCACCTGGTAGAGCTTGCGAATAGCCTTCTTGATCTCCGTCTTGTTTGCGTGTGAGTCGACGATGAAGGTCAGTGTGTTGTTCTCCTCAATCTTCTTCATGGCCTTGTCGGTCGTCAGTGGGTAGCGAATCACGCGGAACGCATCGTACTTGTTCTGCACGGCGCTCACATTGGCGCATGGCTTAACAGTTGCCGGCTTGCGGTACGTGTGTGGGCGACGGAACTGCGGGCGGGTGTACGCCTTGCGCTTGGTGACCTTCACCACCTTTGTCGCCTTCACAGCGGGCTGCGTGCCCTTCTTGGCAACAGTCTTGGTGGCGGTCTTCTTAGCAGCAGCAGAAGCAGTCTTCGCGGGCATCCTCGTCCTTTTTTTCGCGTGAAAGAAAAGCCTTTTTTAATTATTATTTGTTAATTACAATTGTGTGAGAGAGATTTAGGGAAGGGAAGGGGGTTCAATAGAAAGGGAAAGAAAGAAAAAAATAGATATGGCAAAAGTGAAGGAGGGGGAAGGGGGAAATAAGAGTGAAATGAGTAATGAACTACTCCACAGAAATGCAGGCATTATACGCATATTCACACACAGACACAGAGACATACAAACAATACAAATGGTATCCTTTCCCATCTTCCGTACGGTTAGATGGCACCAAGACGAATTGTGGGAAACAAAACTCATCTCCCATGTATATAAGTATACGGTGTAGGGATTCTTTTTTTTTTTTTTTTGTATGCATTCATGTGCGTTTCCATGCATAAAAAGGTTATTGATAAATCACACGAGAAAAAAAAAAAACGACTCCTTTCTTTGTTTGGTTTTTTTTATAGCAGACCCATCTTGTTGGCTGTCTCGAGAGCGTCGTTGGAGGCAGAGAGACGAATGTACGCCTTCTTAAGACCATCAGGGCGAATCAGTGTGTTCACCTTCACGGCCTTCACCTGGTAGAGCTTGCGAATAGCCTTCTTGATCTCCGTCTTGTTTGCGTGTGAGTCGACGATGAAGGTCAGTGTGTTGTTCTCCTCAATCTTCTTCATGGCCTTGTCGGTCGTCAGTGGGTAGCGAATCACGCGGAACGCATCGTACTTGTTCTGCACGGCGCTCACATTGGCGCATGGCTTAACAGTTGCCGGCTTGCGGTACGTGTGTGGGCGACGGAACTGCGGGCGGGTGTACGCCTTGCGCTTGGTGACCTTCACCACCTTTGTCGCCTTCACAGCGGGCTGCGTGCCCTTCTTGGCAACAGTCTTGGTGGCGGCAGACTTCTTAGCGGCGGCCTTCTTGGGGGCAGCGGCAGAAGCAGTCTTGGCGGGCATCTTCGGTGTCGTTGATACCTTTCTCTATTTTTGTTAGTAAAGGGAATGAGTGTGAGTGTGGTAATTAGTTGGTTTTTTTTTATAATGAGGTGAGAAAAGATTAGAATGTGGGAAAAGGAAACGTTCGAGAAAAAAAAAAATGATGAAAGAGAATCCACTGATTAAAAATAAAAAAAAAAAAAGAGGGATAGATAGATAGAGGGAGGCCGAAGGGGTGGTGTGAGGTATAGGGATTGAATAAAAAGAAAGGTATTATAAGAATTACTTCTTACTCATTTTGGGTAAAAGGGGGTGTAAAGGCAATAAAAATGAAAAAAAAAAGAAATTAGTGACTTACAGGAAGACACTTATAATATTTACGAAAAATTCTTATATTTTTCTTCTCTTTTTTTTTTTCTTTTCTACTCAGATTTCACGAGATCGTAGTGAAAATCCCTCTATGGTATATATATATATGTCGTATTTATTTGCTTTCACATATATATTAAAAAACAAAAAAACACGTGATCACACACCCCAACTCATAATTTATTACTTTTTTTACTTCTTGTGGGAATGGAAATATAACAAAACAACTCTATTTTTCCCCCCATCTATAAATATTAATAACAGAGAGTAAACGAACATGTAGAAAATATGTACGAATGAATGTATGAATGACTCTGTACAAGTACATCATTCCCACTCAAATATTTTCACTAGCATATATTCATACCAGCAGCCGCTGCATCACTCTCTCCCTCTGCTGCTCCTGGTAAAGATTTCAACCAGCGGTGAACGCCATATTGAGCCTCTTTAGGAGTTCCAAAGGCATCAAATACACGATGGATGATAGAATCCCAGGCAGCAAGGTAAGTGGACTCATTCAGAACATCTTCCACTGAAAAGGATGCGATACACTCATGCAGTAAAACGTTATCCTCCACCCCATCACGAACCTTCACATATGTACCATCCTTATATCCTGACATTTGGCGAATACTGTTTAGTGTGTGTTTCGCCACGTAGTAGGCCACCAGGTTAAATCCGAGATCCTGTGCTGCCGCAATGACAGCTTCTGTAATGAGATCAAATCGCCAGATATTAGCTAATTGAATAATATTACGGAAGCTCGCCACTGCATTTGCGGTTTCACTTAAAGGAAAGAATAAGATACCATTCAATTCACTTCCTTCAGGTACTGTTGTGATAGTAGTAATAGTTTCCGGTGGGGAACAGAAACGGCATAACTCCTGTAGTGGTTTCCCAGTCATATTTTGGTGTAGTGGAGCCGCGAGACGTGTCTGCATCTCTCCTGAAAGTGAAAAGTGCATAATGTCTGTGAGTTCAATCTTCACATTTTGCAAATCGGGTTGTGCCTTTACATTCTTCCACCACTTCCATGGATAGGAATCCATCAACTCTGCACTCTCCATCACAATAGCAAGTGCCCAGTCATCTGGAGTACGTTGTTGTTGCCAATTCACATTCACGGCGGTGTTGAGACCATCCTGCAGTTGGGCGAGAGAACGGAGAATGAGTGGTGGCAGAGTGGCACGATGCATAGTGATTGGTGTTCTTGATAATAGAAGACAGACAGACAGACAGACAGAGACACACACACACGAGAGGATAATAATATATGATGATGGTAGGGAAATAGTTAGAGAAATTTATTACACAGCTGTGATTTAGCTAGAATCCTTGTTTTACTTGGATATATATATATATATATATATATATATATGAAGAGAGAGAGAGAGATAATATATGTAATGACGAAAAAAAGAAAGAAAGAAAGAAATAAGTAATTAAAGAGCAAAGAATAGATATAGCTACCTCTACACAGATACAGAGTAATACAATATTCATTATATTTTTAATATGTCACATCACATGCAAGAAAAGAGAAGGGTGGGGATTAGGTAGGGTGCAAAAGAAAAAAAGAAATGATAATAGCGCAATAAGAAGAAAGACTTAATAAGTATGGATTCAGGGGGGTGGGAGGGGGATAAAAAATATTGATACAGCAATCCAATTATAACTCTTCGATTATCATCAATAGTTGCTTCTCTGTTTGTAGTTTTTTTTTCTCTCTCTCCCCCCGTTTTCGTTCCTTTTTTTATTTTTCTTTTTTTTTTTGTTTTCTCGTTCATTTACACTTCTATTTTTCCTGTTTATAGTAGTGGTGCTATGTAATGCTGAAGTAACTTGTGTACATGTGAGAGTGTCACATCATCCTTCTCTGGATTCCCCTGTTTTCTCAATATATCGGATGATAATGAGGATGAACTCGATCGCACGGTACGATCTGACTTACTGCTTGAACTGTTCCTATCAGATTCACTATCATCATCATCACTATCATCATCATCATCATCGACTAATTTCGTCTTTCCAACAAAATCATTTAAGTTAACAGCTGTAATGACTTTTTCTACACGACTTATAGTTACATCCGAGGTAATCGCCGGCAATCCCCTTGGTTCTTGTAGTGAATCAAAGAAAGATCCAATAACATCCAACAACAATTTACTAGGATCATCACTATTGTCTCCACTATTTTTACTGAGACGAGGGCTGCTGCTGGTGTTGGTGTTGGTGGTATTCTCCCCGGCATTCATATTATTTGCATTAAATCTCTGTCTGCTAGTCGGTGATTGGGGTGAGAGTGGCGGCTTGTTATCATTCTTACTATCGTTGTTAGTACTGATGCTGATATTACTAGTACTGCTGTTATTATTATTACTTTTATTATTATTTTGATTTCTCCATGAACCTAATCCCTGTGTAGTGGATGCCGTTGCTGCTGTGGATCCCATATTCCGAGAGAAAGCCAAACTTTCCACATCAAAGACCCGTTGTTGTTGTTGTTGTTGTTGTTGTGGTTGGTCTTTTGAAGACTCTTTTGTATTTGCCGCACAAGTTAACCACTGCAAAAGCACCAATGATGGGACTCCATCTGTGTTGTTATTTCTATTTGACATTGTGCATTGTCCATATGTGTTTGTCTTCACACCACCCACAAACAATGGTGACCAGAATCGCAGGAATACAGCAAAGAAAAATATCTGTTGTCGTAATACCCCTTCTGATTTTCTCCATACTTCTGTGGAAACATTATATAAAGTACTCCATGTCTCTACATTACACAATATATCTCGTAAGAGACGAAAAACAATAAATTGTAATAATGCCACAGCACCGGCGTAATTTCCACCACCCGTTTCTAACGCTCCAATCACTGATTCCTCCTGTGGGGAGACACAACTACGTAAAGGAAATGGAGAACCACTTTTATTATTCTTACTATTACTATTACTAACATTATCACTAGTAGTATGAGTAGTAGTAGGAGTATTAGCGGTGGTGTGTTGGGCTGCCCATCGCTGATTTACAACATGGGTAGGAACGAGAAGTTGTTCTTGAAAAAAGGCCAATATATTTAATGACATTTGCACACACCAATGAAAAAGAAACAATTCATCCTCATGATCAAAGTTACCATCAATAGGGAAGTGTGGATAATTCCCTAATACCCCACGCAGACACCAAACAGGTGATGGTGGTGGTGGTAATGGTACACACAAGAGTGCCGATTTCTCTTTACTTGTATTGTATGAAGAGAAGCGTCTTTTAACAAGATCCAATAGAAAAGGTTTTAAACGTGTTTCATTTACAGCTGCAGTTTGAATAAGATGCGCAGCGGCATCCCGTGCACCATTTGTATCCTCCACAAGATTCACCGAAGGCGAAGAAGAAGAAGAAGAATACTTATTATTAGTATTATTATTATTATTATTATTATTATTATTATTATTATTACTATTAATAGTGGGAGGACGTGCAGTAAATACTTTAGATGTTGCGGCCGCTGCTACTGCTGTGGCCATCTTCATCTCATTATCCCCATCAAATGTGAGTAAAGCGGCATCTCCCAAGAGAAGATCCTGCGCGGCATCTACACTGTGGGATAAACTTAATGCTGCCACCATCCATCCTTGCACCAGTCGTGGTAATACTCGCCGTAATTCCTCTAGATATTGAACCTGAAAGGCTAAAGTGGCATCTAACAACATATAAGATAATGCCCGTCCACGTGAGAGAAAGGCAATCCACACAGAAGCACTCAATACATCTGCGAGAAGTAATTGCATAGCCCCAAACACCCATCGTGTTACAGAGGCGGATGGAGATAATGGGGAAATTCTGTTATCTGCAGGGAATACTTTACGATGCATATCTGTAAATTCTCCAGATTGTAAAAAGGTTACAAGAGCTTGCCGTTGTCGTAATGTTGTTCGCATAAATGAAAGGAATAAACGTTGCATCGTAACATCCAATGACTCTGTTACCACCGCATTCGAAAGTAGAAATGAAACACATTCCATCCAATTATCATGGACATCCATCACCTTCTTATTCTTCTGCTGACGACCCACTTGCTCTAATGGTAATAACTCCTGTCCAGTCATAGCTGCTACAAAGCGAAGAACGGATGTTAAAAGTATACCATGCACACGTGTACAGCCATTTGCATATCGCAGGAATGTATATTGCTCTGGGAGAAGTGAAGATGTTAGAGTCTCACTACTACTGTTCTCCATTCGATTCTTATTATCATTCCTATTAATAATAATATTATTATTAGTATTAGCAATATTCTTGTTACTATTGTTGGTAATACTATTATTATTACTATTACTGTTATTGTTGGTATTACTATCATTACTTCTCCTCACAAAGAGACGTGAGGAGGCTGGAGCGAGAAGTAATTCCAACAAAACGGCATACGACGTTTGTGAAAGACCTTGAAATCTCTGTTGTAACTCCCTACAAAGTGTATTATTACGCCGTGCTACTTCTTCACACATCTGTGGATTATATGCCATTTCACGACTTGCATACATGTGCCATACATCCCGAATAAGATACTCCACCATGGCTTTCCCTGTACTATCCAATCGATCATCTGTACATCCACTAAAGTCTGCCTGTAAATAGATAAGACTTGGTGTGAGCAGTCGGAGAAGATGTGTATCGCAGCCCGCACAGCCAAACTCATCCATTCGACGAACTGTACGAATGGCGTCTGCCAACATCACAACAGCCCGACGGAAACGGGATGGATCTCCGCCTTCAGCCCCACTACCGTAACTGAGAGCCCGAGCTCCTAATACCTCACGGGCTAATTTGTCAATACGATCATGTACCCAAAGAACAGCTGCAGAACTGGGTGGTAATTGTACGATTGTAGAAGTTTGTGTGGTATTCTCTTCACTACGGATGGGTTTTCCACCACTGTTATTGTTTGGCAATAGTTTATCTGAAAACTTGTTGGTATTATTATTATTATTATTATTATTATTATTATTATTATTATTATTATTATTAATAGTAGTAGTAGTAGTAGTAGTAGTAGTAGTAGTAGCAGTAGTAGTAGTAGAAGTAGTACTACTGTTCTTCTTTTTTTCTTCTTCGCCTGTAGAAGCCTCTACTCCCCCATCACCTTTAGTATTAGTATTAGTAATTGTTGTATTAGTTGTCAAAGGATGTTTATTATCATCTGCAATGGATCGCCATAAATTCTGTTGTCGTTCTAATACTTCTTGCATGGCAGAAACAAGAAAATCACTAGCGATAAGAGCACCATGTTGTGGATCTATACGTAATTGTAGTTTATACATTTCTCCATCTAACCATCCCGCATGGAGATGAAAAAAGGTCCGAGATCCACTACGTAATCTCCCAAACCGTAAAAGCAACTGTACAAGTGGAATATGTATACTCTCACTATACATTAATGGCATTGGGACATCATGTAGTCTTTCCGTTACACTACGCACAAACACTTCTTCTAATGCTAATAAGAGTGGCATACATCCTTTGGCATTTGCTTCTGCTTCTACACCTCGCATTAACTCTGCGGCTTCTGTATATCGCCGCTCCGCAATTAATTGTAATATCTCCTGTTTGAGAACATCTGCAAAGAGAAGAATATCTGTGAAACTCAAACCACTGGATTTACCATTATTATTTTCTTCCAATTGTCCTTGTCTATTATGTCGCAACATCGCCGTTGCCCCACCAGCAGCAGAAGTAGCCGTCGCTCCTGTTAACGTGGCATCACGCCATAAACGTGTGGATGGTGTATTTAATGAACGCGTGGTGGATAATAACTGCATAGAGGTTTCATTATTATTATTATTGATATTATTGTTATTATTATTCTTATTACCACCCCCTCTACCAACACCAGCACTATTATTATTATTATTATTATTACCACGACTCCTACTACTCACCGCACCAGATACAGGAAATAATTGAGCAGAAAAGATATCTGTTGAGTCTCGTGGTCGTGATAATCGCGTGGCAATAAGACTTGGACGTACAAGTGCCTTACCTCCTTGGCCTCCCATTCCACTCTTACTCTTATGACTACTTCCACTAAGAAGTGAAACTCGAAAAGTACTTTCCACAGCACGATTATCTCCATCCAAGTTATTACTCCCACTACCACTCCCACTATTATTACTTCCATCATTATATGTACTGAATTTACTAATAGCCGATATAGCGGCTTTCGTCCCTTGTACACGTCCCTTCAATTGTTCCACTAATGCACTCGCCCGGTTTACATCACGGAATAATTGTAGAAAATCACCGGCATGTGCAAATACAGCTGCATGTAAACGACGTGTAGCAATACGATGATCCTCTGATAGTTCCTGATCTAATTTCAGAAAATTAGATTTATTCGTCGCCACAAGTTCTGCAAGTACTTCATCCTTATCAAACGGTGCAGGGGCAACTCCTGCCATACCAGTAGAAGGTGCGGCGGCGAAGGAGCCAGAAGCACAAGAGGCATAACGGGATTTGATAAACTCCTCACGTTCCTCTACACGTTCTTCTGCTTTTCGCATTTCAACAGTACGTTTCTTCATACGTTCAAACAAATTCGCGGTATCTCTTCCCAATATAGATCGTTGTTCTTTACTGTTTCCACGACCACCACTATTACTAGCACCACCACTAGCAGTGGTGTTTTCAAGCAACGCTGCGGCTGTAGAGCCACGACGACGACGTGCACGTAAACCACGGGCATCTGGTCTACGTGGCTGCATTTTTTTTTTTTTTTTATTATTTTCTTCCACAAGTGTTTGTATTTCTGTTATTGCTACTTAGGACTACTGTTCTCTTTAGATTTAAAGAGAATATAAATACACTTAGCAATGTATGTGTATATATGTGTGTGTGTGCAAAATAACACAAATTAGTAATAATATATATATATATAT